ACATAGTATCCAAGCGTGTAAGGGGTTATGGTAAAAACGTCCCTTATAAAACCCCTATTGACAAGTGGAGGACTTTGTGTGTCTCAAAATACCACATAAACGTCTATTTACTGGATTCCTTTCTTTGCAAACTGCACTGGTAAGGCAAGGGGACGATAGTGGGAGGTTTATCCCCCGGGTTCCCGGGTTTGCGGAAAGGGAGAAAATGGCGGATTTCCACGTTGGAAAAACTCCTTGTGACCAAAAAAGTTTGAAAAAGGGTAATAGGTGAAAGGGGCTGACGGAAATGTTGTAGATACGAATATAAAGTCGTGGGGCCCAGTGCCAGATCGGCAAGTGAGGTGTTCCCTCCAGTTTTTGAAGTGTAAAAGGCACATTATACTGTTTTCTCTGAGAGAAAAGTCCAAGGGTGCAACTCTCTGGAGACTTTGGGAAAAAAATGGGGGGCAAGATGGAGCCCCTGGAAATACGGCCCAGAGATTCCAAATTTTCATTGGCAAATCTAGGGGTTTACTACTAACCCGGGCAACCCGCAGAACAGGACCCGGGTAAGGGAGAATATTTACCACCATTTTCGTATTTTTTTCCAGACGCACCCATAGGGAAGCAGAGGTGACGGTGGAGACAATCTGCCAGCAAGTGCGTTTAGCGTACGGATCAGGGCGAGCGATCGCAGTTTCTTTTTAAAATAAAGGGAGTCTCTCTTGGTTTATTTCCCGGTCCCTCCCCCCATGAGCGCGTTTCAAACGTACTGCATGAGCACAAGCAGGAACCACCAACAGCTTTTTGAGAATCCCTGCCTAAAGTTTGGGGATAGAATGAGAAGCTGCGGTTAAAAGGAGGACGAAAAAGAGGTGAAAAAGCTATCGATGGAGGACGAAAAAGGGAAACCCTCTTAAAAACAGTAGGTGTGAGAAAAAGGTTCCAATTTGCCCGATCAAATTGCCACGGGGGATGAAAAGAGGTGGTAAATAAAAGGGGAAGTAAAATGTTTGGGAAATGATCGCTGTATGTAAGGGGGGGAGAAAAACCCAAAGTGAATTTAAATGCGGCGGGGAAGAGAGACTGAAGATCGATGCAGAGGTTATGGCCCCGAGGATCAAAATGGGTGGAGTACCTGTTTTAAAAAAACATGGAGGGGGTGGGTGGCAAGAAAACCCTTTAAATGAATTCCAGGAATCCAGTGAGGACCCCCCCCCCCCAGAGGAATGGGGGGCATTAAAATCACCAAAAACAGAATCGGGCGGTATGACGAAACAGAAAGGAAATATCCGGAATAATAATCCCCGAGAAGGAGAGGTAAAAAGAACGAGCGTATACCACTATGGAAGGGGATACGGGCTGCGGGGTAATGCAGCAAAGTACGAACAAATAGTAGGGTACGGATTCAGTGGTAAAAGAAGGTCACTTTCATTAAAGGCCCATCACGAAAAGGATCTGAAAAATACATAAATTATAGCCTGAGATGGGAGAGAAAAACAGCAGAGTGAAATTTTGGGTTCCCCTTAAGCAAACACCAACAGGGGAAAACGGGGAGAGTAACTCTGAAGCCCCCCCGATTACCCGGGGGCCGGTATATTCCACTGAAAATGGGCCATGATTGGCAATGTAAAGATATTGAAATCCGCGGGAAAGGGGTTTCCTACGATAGAGGGGTTAAAAAAAGCCACATGTGGGGCAGGGGGAAAACTTAAAAACAGCGGGGAAAACGGTGCGTGTAAGAAAGGAGTTGCGCAGTTTTGAGCAAGGAAGGGGGGGCGGGGGTGATCAGTGTCCATTGGGGTTTTGGGGCTCGAAATATTCGAGAGCTTCAAGTGTTTCGGAATTTCAGAGAGTGTAGGGGGAGCAATATTGGAAATGGTGGGGGGGAGGATGAGTAAAGAGGGAACGTATTGGATGTACCAAGGGGGGGGGGGGGGGGGAAAAAAGGGTGGGGAACTGGAGAAGCGTGGAAGGGGACAGAAGAGGCAAAAAACCGGGGAGGTGGCAAAAAGAGGAAGAAATTTGGAGGGAACAGGGGGGAAGGTAAGTACGGGGGGGGGGTAAACCCTCTACACTTATAACAGAGCAGTGAGGGGGGGAAAAAAAAAAAAAAAACCGGGGTACAGGGGACAGGGAAGGTAAAATGAGGAAAGGGTGGAAGATGGGTAGGTGGGGTTACACCTTTTTTTACTTTAAAAATAAAATTGGGGGGGGTTCATCAATTCGTGAACTTTAAGAGAACCGAAAAAGCGGCGTTTACCCCGGAATAAAAGTCTAGCCGAGGCGCAAAAAAGAACGGGGACTTTGGGGGGAAAAACCCAAGGTGGGTGAGAAAAAGGGAACAAAAAGGGGGGGACTTTTGAAAACAGGAATAAGAAACACGGGAGTCCCCCTTTTAGGGGGAGATGAAAACTGCCTGGCATAAGGGAGCCTTCTGTCTCTTTGAGGTACGGACCCCCGCTCTTTTAAAATGACTTGACAATGGCGAGAGTACAAAGGGTGACCCTATACTTTAAAGGGAAAGAGGAGTCGTTTGCAAACTTTAGAATGGTCTGGGCACCACAGATGGGCATTCGGCGAAAATCTGCAAATTTCACTGGTGGCCAAAACGCCAGCAATTTCTAACTGTTGCGGTGTAGGGATCACCTTTCGAAATTGTAACCCATGTCCTGCAAAAATGAGGAGGGAGTTCTCGGCTGTCAAAAGTTAAACGGGACTTTCAGGGTTGTTCCCCCCGCAGGCAGGAAGAAGTGTCTACTTTAGGTGGGAGAAACTTGGAGTTCCCGCTTTCAAGAATGTCGTGCCACATGTCGGAAAATTTTTTTTGAACTATGGGAGGGGCAGAATGGGCGGTACCACTACAAAAATTGGGGAAAGTGTTTTTTAGAGGACAGGGAAAAGTATTTATATGGGAAAGACGGAAAAGCTCATGAGCCCGGGTAGCATTTTGTACGGGTGATGATGCAGTACCTTTAGAGCATAAAAAAAAATATCTTTACCCAAATGGGGGTAGGAGTGCCTTTTCAATACTGTGGTCAGAAAATAGGCAGTGAGGAAGTCGGTGTAAAGTGAAGAATTTAGTCCTTGTTCAGTCTGAAACTGAGCGTGGGAAGGTAGTGAAGGACGTGCGATGTTTTTGGAAGAAGAGAAGGTGGAGAAAATATCAAAGCAGGTAAATTTTCTTTTGGGGTTTAGGGGGGACAGAGTTTGGGCCACATGGAAAGGTCGGGGATTTGAAAATGCCACACCCTGAGGGAGAGGCCGAAGCATAGTCAGGAGAGGAGGCGATAAATTTTAAGAGTCAGTCGAGGCCTCAGTACCGAGCGGGTGAGGGGGAAACGCACGGGAAAGGGTGTCTGAAAGGGGGGTCCCAAAAACGAGGCGGGGGCGAACGGGGTGTGGTATCAAGAAGGGGCCCGGGGGTGTAGGTTATGGATAGGGCTGCCCTGGGGGGTTTCTTCTTTCTTTTTGTTTTTAAGAAAAAAAAAAAAAAATAAAAATAAAAAAAAAGGGGCCAGGGAGGGAAGTTCCCGGGGGAAAAAAGGGGCCCGAAATCTCCCTCCGCGCCAAGAGGGCCTCAGCACCGCAGTCGCAGATGCAGCATAGAACCGGCCATACCCTACCCCAACTGCATAAACTAACAATCCCGGGTAAACCTCACTCTGCCAAGTACCCGGGGACAAAAAAGAGGCGGCCCGGGAAAAACCCCCACAAGCATACCTCCCCCGGCCCCCACCCCCCGGGAAACCAAAGGAGGGTTCCCGGAACCGCGTCGCCCGAAGTCACCAAACACCCCCCGGGAACCGGAAGAGGGACTGGGACATCCCCCGGCAATCCCCGATTCCCACGGGAACTACGCACCCCCAAGAAACCTCAACGGAATGGGATGGACCCCGGGACCCCTTTCCCCCACCTAGGAATAGCGGCCCGTATGGAAAAAAAAAAAAAAAAGGCCAAAAAAAGGGAAGGGGGAAAAGGGAGGGGGGGGGAATAGGAGGGGGGGAAGGAAAAAAAGGGGGGGATGGGGTAGGGAACAGGGGGATTGGGGGGTAATTAGGTTCGGTTGGAAGGAACCGACAGGTCTAATTCCTCAACCAAGAGCCTTTCACCACGCCCAAAACCCCCCTTGAAGAGGGCATTGGGAAAGAGAAAAAAAAAAAAAAAAAACATTTCAAGAGTCTTTCGCGGGAAAGAGAAATTTGAGTTGAAAATTTAGAATTGCATTTTAAGCAGGTAACATTTTTTTAAGTTTTTATAAATTTTTTTTGTTTTTTATTCAAATTTTAGAAGTAAGGCTTGCACATACATACATATTTGTACTATTTTTCCCCCCCTTTGTTTTTTAAACTCTATGGGTTATTGGCATTCAAAGATGGGGTCAGGGATTTGAAGTCTAGCACACTTTATGAAGATTACTAGTAGCACTTCTCTAAGGGGTCTGAGCTAAAGTTTCAAGAAAAAGTCTTTTTGGATTGAAAAAAGAAAATTCGCTTATATTTATTTTTGGAAAGCATGACCAAAATACAAAACACTCCCCCCTAAAAATTTAAAAAGGGGCACAAAAAATGTCAAAGCAAATTTAAAGTCAAAATTACCCAAAATTTATTTCAAGCCCGCCTTAAGTTGTCATAGGGGGGGAGTTGGCTTTTTAATATCTGGGGGATTGAACAAAAAGACAAAGCTTAAAAAAAATGCCCTATTTTTTTACAAATTTTCATCCATCAAATATTGTAGCATGCATGATGTGCATATTTTTTTAAAAACCCCGGCCTTTTTCCACCCAAAGGGGAGTGACCTGAAAAAGAAGAGAACAATCATTAATTTTTACACTACCTTCCAGAGGGTGCTGATACACAAATTTAGATGCCCCTTTTAACGCAGGGATGTACTTTTCCCCCCTAACAGTTTTCCTGAATCCCTTCACAAAAATTAATTTGTTTGCACTCCAAACTTAAAACCAAAAGCCATTTGCCCTTTCTCACTCCTATCTGCTCTACCACATGCTGGGGGTCCCAAGTCTCTCGCACAGAAACCTTACTTTTCCTCCACTACAGATTTCATACAAGCAATTCTATTTTGCTTGATCCTCTCTGTAATTCCAAACCAACTCAACAAAATAGGATGCCTTGGAGGGTGTATAAATCTGTAGTGGAGGGGTAGGTCTAGGTACCTTTGGGAAAAGCCCAAGGAAACAGTAAAAGGTGGCGAGGGGTTTGGACATCCAGCAGGCATGTGTGAGCATGTTAGAGGTTTGAGGAAGGTTTTTGAAATTTGACAAGCTATTGGAGTTTGAGGAGGGTAGCATTTTGTGAAGGGATTCAGGGATACCAGTTAGCTGGATTTGAGTCCTGAGGTGGGAAGTACACTGATGCACCCTGGATAGGCATCTGAACTGAAGTATCAGCACAATTCTAGTTAAGTGAATGATGGTGAAAGTGTTTCTTCTTTTTCATTTCACCCTGCCTCACTGGGAGATGGCTAGTGTAAAAAATATATATACAGTAGTACCTCAGGATATGAACAGCTCGAAACTCGAACAATTATGTAAGTGCATTTATGCAAGTGCTTTTGTAAGTGTATTTTTGGGGGTCTGAAATGGATTAAACTAATTTACATTATTCCTTATGGGAACAAATTTATTGGGTATCGGCACTCAAACAGCCTTCTGGAACGAATTAAGTTCGTATCCCGAGGTACCACTGTATATATATACACATGTATACTATACATGTACATTGTGTATACATGTGCATATAATGTACCTGTGTATGTGCACACCCACTGCAGGTCTTCTTTGTCAAGAATAATTTCTCAAGAATTTAAGGCAGTAATGATAAGTATCAAATCAACACACTGCCTCAAAAACACATTAGTATCATACACCATAACCTTTTCATAACTACATCACAATGAAAGGAACTTGCAAGACAGAAATAATAGAAATTAAACTTGATGGGTTACATTTACCCTCAGTAACAATACACAAAACCAAACAGTTCAATTCAATAATGTATTTAGAAAGGAATATAAAAGCACATTATTGTAAATAAGAAAGAGGAAGAGGGGAAATATAATGATCAAATTCGGAAAGGTAAACAAAGGAAAAATAATGAGACAGATGCAGCAGCAACTTGGAAAGGAAAGATATTTATATAAGAATTTAAATGGAAGATTGAAAACATGAGGAAGGCAATGAACACTGAAAGAAATAATGTGAGGGTAAAGCTAGGATGAAGAGGAAATAAAAAGGATAAGAAAAAGGAAACAAATAAAGCAGACTGGAGACTGATTTGGGATTAATGGACTATCACTTCACAGAAGGCAATAATTATAATTGACACATTAATGCTAAAGGTCAGACTCAAGAAGACCTCTGAACCTTGACAAAAGATAAATTTACAAAGAGCTTTTAATTAAAAAATGTAATATGCTAAAATGAGACCGGATTTTAATTGCCATATGGTGCTAGAAAGTTATGATTTTCAACAATACACATTCATAACTCATGGTGCACACACTTCAGGATGGGTATGATTATTTACAATACAAAAATGTTATTTTAAACTGGCAACCCTGTGAATCAGGCTAATATTCATCCAATCCTCTATGTGCAACCCAATTTGAATGGTTATCAGAAGTAATGTTTCTGCAGCCAAAGAAAATTTGCCTGCAAAAAGCAGCATTTGATAACCCAACACTCAAAAAATCCTGAGCCTTTTGAAACATGCTTAACCTAGATAAAAGTTTTCTATATACAAATTGTCCAGTAATTCAATCCTTTCTTATTTTTAATTTCTAGTAGCCTGGATATGTATATAATCCAAATGATCATCAAATGGTACAATGTACAAGGAAATATCAAATACAGCTAGCTAGAAAACATCCACATCCAGGAGATACAAGTGTAAATGATGTAAATGTGTTGGACTTACGAAGAAGCTGAATTTCACACGACTGGCCACTATACATCAAGTTATGGTGAATTTGAACCGACGAAGTACATGACAATGGTGACATGAATTTGAAAGAGCAATATCACATACAAGTTTCATAACTTCTGACTGCTTCACTCATCCAATGATTAGTGCACTAACAAAAGTTAACTTTTCATGGTCATGGAAAAACAGTTTTAAAGGAATACAGTGCAGATATCACCAGTGATTGGATGCTAATTAGTGTGAAAAAACTGTCTTTACTTATCACTTTTTAATTGACTAAATTAATTACCACTCTGTAATGTGGTCTGGTTTTTCTCCTGAACTATATCTATCCCACATCCGCTTGAAAAGACGCTCAAGATTCCGGGCATAAGTCTTGCAATCGAACAGCGGTGATTCAGTGCGTGCCTTCCACACACTAGCACGTGTTGCTTTCAAGCTGTTAAGAAGAATTTGTAATACCCATTAGAAAAATATGAAAATTGTTCCCCTGAATGAAATTTGGTTGATGTTAAAAGTAAACTTCCTAAATATCCCCCAAAACTCTTACAGATGCTTATATGAACCCACAACACAAAAGTGGTAGTTCGCAAAGCAAACACAAACACTACAAAGGCATAGTGTACTTGCAATACACTGCTGGGCTAACTGATTTGTAAACAATGGACAGGACGTCTGTTTTTTACAGAACTTTTTATCCTTGTTACAATAATGACAGTCATAATTACCTGTCATCGTTTCTTGCTTCCATTATTCCGTTATATCAAAGGTTTACTCTAAGCTTGCCTGAAATGCTCTACATAACTACGGGCTTTCAACATGCATTAAAGTGTCGCCCATTTCTGTATAAACAATGTATAATTTTTAAATAAACTGGTATTGTATTGTAATTTGACTATAAAAACCAATGCCTAAATCAGCATAAATAATCTTTATTTTTTTTAGAAATTTTTGTTCTTTTTTTAACAAGTCGCATATTCTCTTAACACTAGGTGACCCAAAACAACGATAAGAAAATCCCAAAAAGAAATATTTAAACATTCGAAACACCAAACATCGCAAATTAAAATGTGCAGGACCTCAGAATACAACATTCTTATGGCTACACATATAAAGATACACAAATATGCCTCCAAAATGCAATATTAGAAATTAGTTACTTATTTGTTAGTGAACTTATTCTGCTTAAATACACTTAATACTGAAATCACTCAAACATGTATGCAAGTATCCAAGGTAAAAAATCCCAGTTTCTGGAAAAAAAATATAAATAAAATGTGCAGTCAACCCCAAATTCACTGGCTTTTTAATTCATGTGCTTTTGTTATGCAACTGTTTACTAAATGGTCTCCAGCAAAATGTGAATGTATGTATATGTGTGTGTGGGGGTGTGTGTGTGGTGTGTGGGGGTGTGGTGTGTGGTGGGTGTGGTGTGTGTGTGTGTGTGTGGTGTGTGGGTGTGTGTGGTGGTGTGTGTGTGGGGTGTTTTGTGGGTGTGTGTGTGTGTGGGGTGTGGTGTGTGTGGGTGTGTGGTGTGTGTGGTGTGTGTGGTGTGGGTGTGTGGTTGTGTGGGTGTGTGTGGTGTGGGTGTGTGTGTGGTGTGTGGTGTGTGGTGTGGTGTGTGGGGGTGTGGTGTGTGGGGTGTGTGTGGGGGTGTGGTGTGTGGGGGTGTGGTGTGTGGGGTGTGTGTGTGGTGGTGTGGTGTGTGGGGTGTGGTGTGGTGGTGTGGGGGTGTGTGTGTGTGGGGGTGTGGGTGTGGTGTGGGGGTGTGTGGTGTGGGTGTGGTGTGTGGTGTGTGGTGGTGTGTGTGGGGTGTGTGGTGGTGTGGTGTGTGGGGGTGTGGTGTGGTGTGTGGGGTGTGTGTGGGTGTGGTTGTGGGGTGTGTGTGTGTGGGTGTGTGGTGTGTGGTGGTGTGGTGTGGTGGTGTTGTGGTGTGTGTGTGGTGTGTGTGTGGTGTGTGTGTGTGTGGTGTGTGTGTGGTGTGTGTGGTGTGTGTGTGTGTGTGTGTGTGTGGTGTGTGTGGTGTGTGTGTGGTGTGTGGTTGTGGTGTTGTGTGTGGGTTGTGTGGTGTGTGTGTGGTGTGTGTGGTGTGTGTGTGTGTGTGGTGTGTGTGTGTGTGTGTGTGTGTGTGGTGTGTGTGTGTGTGGTGTGTTGTGTGTGGTGTGTGGTGTGTGTGGTGTGTGTGTGTTGTTGTGGTGTGTGTGTGTGGGTGTGTGGTTGTGGTGTGTGTATGTTGGTGTGTGTGTGTTGTGGTGTGTGTTGGTATGTGGTGTGTGTTTGTGGTGTGTGTGGTATGTGGTTTGTGTGTGTGATGGTGGGTGTGTGTTGTGGTGTGTGTGTTGTGTGTGTGTGTGTGTATGTGTGTGTGTTGTGGTGTTGTGTGGTTGTGTATGTGGTGTGTTATGTGTGTGTGTAGGGTGTGTGTGTATGTGGTGTGTGTGTTATGTGGTGTGTTGTGTGTATGTGGTGTGTGTGTATGTGTGTGTTTGTGTATGTGGTTGTTGTGTGTATGTGGTGTGTTGTATTGGTGTGTGTGTATGTGGTGGTGTTTGTATGTGGTGTGTGTGTGATGTGGTGTGTGTGTATGTTGGGTGTGTGTATGTGGTGTTGTTGTGGTGGGTTGGTGGGTGTATGTGGTGTGTGTGTATGTGGTGTGTTGTGTGGTGTGTGTGTATGTGTGTGGTGTGTGTATGTGGTGTTGTGTTGTTGTGTGTGTGTGGTTGTGTGTGTTGTGTTGTTGTTGTGTGTGTGTGTTTGGTGTGTTTTGTGTGTTTGTGGTGTGTGTTTGTGGTGTGTGTTGTGGTGTGTGTTTGTGTGTGGTTGTGGTGTGTGTGTGTGTGGTGTGTGTGTGTTGTGGTGTGTGTGTTGTGGTGTGTGTTTGTGTGTGTTGTTTGTGGTGTGTGTTTGTGGTGTGTGTTTGTGGTGTGTTTGTGGTGTGTATATAGGGGGGAGGGGGGTCAAACATTGAAATTAAAAACTAATCACAGGATTTTGTTCAAAATGTTAGTTAATAGATCTCTCACATCAAAATCTATTTTAACTAAACTGAAAGTGAGGTTTACAAAAACAGAAGGGCCTCAAATATGTTAAGCTCTTTACCAACAAGAACTGCATAAATAAGAGTCCCTTCTCATGCCAATCAACATTATTTGTTGCTGGCATCTCATCCGTTTGACATGAATGGAGTTCTACAGATAATTCAGATTTTTCCATAAAATAGAATATTTGAATTCCCCCATCACTATCATCCAAGATAATGGGAATGCAACAGAGCCCACAAACTGAAAAACATTGGATAGACTGCCATCAACATGTAGGTCACCTTCCCAAGATAAGAATAAGCAATCATGATAAATGAAGAAACTGCGTATTTCTTTCAATACATCTTTAATCATAAATAAACAAAGCATAATACGTGGCTGGAACAATAACATAAATTAACCGCACATAAAGCAGCAAAGCTTACACGACTTTGGTCCGAAAATAGACATTGACAAAGTCAATGATCCATTCGGACCGGAAAAGGTGACTTACTATCTCTCTTTTATGTGCGGGTTATTGTGCAATCTTTATTCATGGCTTTTTGTAACCTTAATTCAGATCCAAATATGCAGCTTATAGTAGAAGAAGCGATCCTGTAAGGTATATGATTTATAATAATAAGTTCTAAGCAAACGAACACAAAATATGAGGTCAAAATTATAAAATGATTACATAACAAGAACTCTTGGAAAACTGGCCTGAACTTACTATTCTCAATCATTTCTAGTCTCGTGGCCAATACTTCATATTCTTGGCAGTTGTGGTAGCCTCTAAGTTCAGGAGTTCCCAGACAATGGAGTTGTGAGGCTGCAACACGCGAAGCTAGCGTTTCTCCTGATAAGGTGATCATGGGAGTGCCTGCCCATAATACATCCATTCCTGGGGAAAATTCATTATTAAATATGAATGTGTTCAAATTATAAACACACTTAAGTAAAACGTGAAGTTTTAACTCGTAGCCCAGGAACCTTCTGCCAACTAAGACAGTATCACTCGTGTCCCATCACTATACAAAGGGGTTTGAGCCTTAGCTCTTGAGCTTGCCTCTTTAAATTCTCAAATGAACAATACAAAATAGCTTATTTGCCTTCAAGCCCTGAACAGTCAATGTGTACTTTATCATTGCCTGAATTATTCCTCCAATTCACCACTCATAATATTACTCACATGAAGTTCCACATTTTAAACATTCTGTAGCAAAGAAATATAAGTTTAAAGCAAAAAACTTATATGGGAAGATTGTAATTTAAAGGGTCATATGAATTATGTCTTCATACTTCTGGCAAAACAACTATTTTTCACATTCTGTGATCCACACCCGTAATTCAACCACTGTCATCGGTAGTGTTAGCCAATTTAGACAAAAGGAGAAATTTTCCCACCATTTATGACAAAGGGGGTGCTGGATTTTTAGTTAGGGAAGCACAGTGTGGGAAGAGTGGTATTCATACCAGACAAATGCTTTTTCCCAGGTATTAACCCTTTCAGGGTTTCGGCCGTACTAGTACGGCTTACGCACCAGGGTTTTTGACGTACTAGTACGCCTAAATTCTAGCGCCCTCAAATCTAATGAGAGAAAGCTGGTAGGCCTACATATGAAAGAATGGGTCTATGTGCTCAGTGTGCATGGTATAAAAAAAATCCTGCAGCACACAGTGCGTAATGAGAAAAAAAAAAAATTTTGACCATGTTTTTGGATTAAAACAGTGACTTTGCAATGTATTTTCGTATGGTATTTATTGTTGTTTTCTAGTTTTCCTGGTCTCTTTTTATAGAATGGAAGACATTTTACAGAAATTGAGATGATTTTGATTGGTTTTACAATGAAAAGTACCTTGAAATTGAGCTCAAAGTAGCAGAAATGTTTGATTTTTACCAAAGTTCAAAAGTAAACAAATCATGCCATGCGTCCAATACACGTCAATTGGCGAGTCTAATATTCTTTCACAAGTGCACTGATATTATTTACACCATTTTTACACTAATGCAGTAGTCTGCATAACAGTAAATCTTCTATTTTTTGTGAGAATAAAAATTCAAAATGGAAAGCAAAAGAATGTAAGAGGGGCGTGGGGTCATGACTAACGAACAGAGGAAATGTTATTTTAGTGCCAGGAATGTCTTTCTTGTTTATTCTGGACCCTATTCAGAAATTGGCATTTTTGAAATTTGTGTGAAATTGGCAAAATTGCTAAATTCTGACCACTGTATTGGATAGTTGAAATTGGTAAATGGGTGGTTTCTTGTACTCATTAGAGACCCAAAATGGAGTTTTAACGAAATAGTTATGATTTTTGTCGACTAGTACACAGGAATTGGCCGAAAATAGGGCTCAAAGTGGGCAAAATTGCCAATGCGTAAACATCGTTGAGACCACTAACATCGCGAGAGCATAATTCCCTAAGTTTTCCATCAAATTTCATACTTTTGGTGTCATTATGATCTGAAAAAATTCTCTATCTTTTCATAAGAATTTTTTTTTTTTTTTTTTGAAATATGGCCGACCCTGAGAACGAGTCTCTGAGAGGGCCTGTCGATCCTGAAAGGGTTAATCGCTCAAACCACACACCACTGCAATTAGGTAACTCAGTATTAAGTAGGACCCTACCTTGGTAGAGAAAAAAAAATTAACTAAAGAAACTATCCAGAAGTAAGTCAGACTAGTGTAAAAACCTAAAATTGCCCCTACCAAAATCTTATCAAACTTGGACTTTAAAAAGACTAGATAATCTAGCACAATATATTATCAGGAAACTTATGAAAGAAGTTCAGCCAAGTCCTGTTTATTCCAGTGTTGCAACATCTTCATGATAAGAATACCAACAAAAACAGTTACTGAAGTAACCTTAACTAAATGAGGTATTAAATATGATATCACTCTAAATGGTCCATTATTTTATTATTATTTTATTATATTCATCAAGCATTAAACCTGTAAGGGTCACACTACTTGAGAAATGTAATGTAAATAATCACAGAAATGGGAGGCCAGCTCCAATTCCTTGTACCAAGTCTTTCACCCTCGAGTCTATATGGTCAAAGCAAGGTATCTGACTAACTGAATTTTATGAATAATGGGTGTTAATAGTAGCATAACAAAGCCTACCACTTGCATACGTATATGCAAATGGGAAATTTAAACTTGTTTATTCCAAACATCTGAACAAACTATATAGTACACACACAAAACAAGACAACAGTGAATAATACCTGTAGTATGGCCATTGCATAATGGTGTATCTAAGCAAACATCCGCTAACTGTCCTCTGCGGACATGCTCCTCTTTGGCAGCAACATTAGAAAAGATGATTCGTCCTGGTCCAACTCCAAGGTGTTGTGCTTGGGAAAGAATATTGGCTTCTCCATGAGCAGGAAACCGTAACAGCCATACGACTGATTTTGGTACACGCTTTAAAATCTGATGAAAAAGATGCTTGTTATTTAAACAGCACAAATGTAAAGTAATTCTTCCAAAAATTTGTCACAGTTGCTTTTTGCTGATGATATTGTACTTATGGGAGATTCTAAAGAAAAATTGCAAAGGTTAGTGGATGAGTTTGGGAGTGTGTGTAAAGGTAGAAAGTTGAAAGTGAACATAGAAAAGAGTAAGGTGATGAGGGCATCAAATGATTTAGATAAGAAAAATTGGATATCAAATTGGGGAGGAGTATGGAAGAAGTGAACGTTTTCAGATACTTGGGAGTTGATGTGTCGGTGAATGGATTTATGAAGGATGAAGTTAATCATTGAATTGATGAGGGAAAAAAGGTGAGTGGTGTGTTGAGGTATATGTGGAGACAAAAAACGTTATCTATGGAGGCAAAGAAGGGAATGTATGAAAGTATAGTAGTACCAACACTCTTATATGGGTGTGAAGCTTGGGTTGTGAATGCAGCAGCGAGGAGGCAGTTGGAGGCAGTGGAGATGTCCTGTCTAAGGACAATGTGTGGTGTAAATACTATGCAGAAAATTTGGAGTGTGGAAATTAGAAGGTGGAGAGTTAATAAAAATATTAGTCAGAGGGATGAAGAGGGGATGTTGAGGTGGTTTGGTCATTTAGAGAGAATGGATCAAAGTAGAATGACATGCAGAGCGTTTAAATCTGTAGAGGAAGGAAGGCAGGGTAGGGGTTGTTCTTGAAAAGGTTGGAAGGGGTAAGGGAGGTTTTGTGGGCAAGGGGTTTGGACTTCCAGCAAGCGTGTGTGAGCGTGTTAGATAGGAGTGAATGAAGACAAATGGTATTTGGGACCTGACGAGCTGTTGGAGTGTGAGCAGAGTAATATTTAGTGAAGGGATTCAGGGAAACCGGTTATTTTATATAACCGGACTCGAGTCCTGGAAATGGGAAGTACAATGCCTGCACTCTAAAGGAGGGGTTCGGGATATTAGCAGTTTGGAGGGATATGTTGTGTATCTTTATTGGTACAGTGGTCCCCTGCTTTTCGTAGTTCCCGGCAATCGTAAAATTCGCAAATCATAGGGGTATTTTCATATAAACATGGACTCGCTTTTCATAGGTTGACTCGCGAGTCGTAGTTCGTCCGGGACGTGTACCCACGGCGTGAGCCGGGGCGGCAGCCAGTCTGGCATTGTTTACCAGTGAGCGAAGGTCCCCTCACGTGCTCCAGCGAAATATTTCATAATATTCCATTTATTTTAGTGCTTGCAAGTACTAAATAAGGTACCATGGCTCCAAAGAAAGCTCCTAGTGCCAAGCCTGTGGTAAAGGTGAGAAAAACGATTGAATTTAAAGAAAAACCATCATTGAACAATATGAAAGTGGTACAAGTGTGGCCGAACTGGTCCAGGATGTATAAGAAACCCTACACAACCTTATGTTCCATAGTGGCCAAGAAAAAGGAAATAAAGGATGCTGTTGTTGCAAAGGGAAATAACTATGCTGACAAAAAATGAGATCCACCCGTACTGGAAGAGGTTGAGAAGTTTTTATTGGTGTGGATAAAAGAGAAACAATTAGCAGGAGATACTCTTATGACTTCGATTATTTGTGAAAAGGCTAGGCAGTTGCATGAAGATTTGGTAAAGAAATTTCCTGCAAATAGTGGTGAAGTGAGTGAAATTTAAGGCCAGCAAAGGCTGGTTTGAGAGATTTAAGAACCGTACTGGCATACACAGTGTGGCAAGGCATGGTGAGGCTGCCAGTTCGGACCACAAGGCAGCTGAAAAATATGTGCATGAAATTTCCCGGAGTACATAGAGGCTGAAGGACTGAACCTAACAAAAGTTCAATTGTGACGAAACAGGCCTCTTTTGGAAGAAAATGCCAAAGAGGACCTTCATTACACAAGAGGAAAAGGCAATGCCAGGACACAAGCCTATGAAAGACAGGCTGACGCTAATGTTCTGTGCTAATGCTAGTGGGGATTTCAAAGTGAAGCCATTACTAGTGTATCATTCTGAAAATCCCAGTGTGTTCAGGAAAAACAATGTTATGAAGAGTAAATTTGTGTGTGTTTTGGAAATCTAATAGTAAGGAATGGGTCACGAGGGAAATTTTCGTCGAGTGGTTCAATGAAGTGTTTGGCCCTAGTGTGAAGGAGTATCTCCTGGAAAAGAAATTGGATCTCAAGTGCCTGCTAGTAATGGACAATGCACCTGCTCATCTTCCAAACTTGGATGACCTAATTTTCGAGGAGTTTGGGTTCATCACAGTAAAGTTCTTGCCCCCAAATACCACTCCTCTCCTCCAACCCATGGACCAGCAGGTTATTGCAAACTTTAAAAAAACTCTACACAAAAGCAATGTTTCACAGGTGCTTGACTGTGACCACAGACACTCACTTGACCCTAAGGGAATTTTGGAGAGAACACTTCAGCATCTTCCACTGCATAATCCTTATAGGTATGGCTTGGGAGGGAGTGACTACCAGGACTTTGAACTCTGCCTGGAGAAAACTGTGGCCAGATTGTGTCGACAAGAGGGATTTTGAAGGATTTGGGACTGACCCTAATGAGCCTATGATTGTTGTAAAATCAATTGTGGCACTGGGGAGTTCCATGGGGTTGGATGTGAGTTTGGAGTATGTGGAAGAATTGGTGGAAGACTACAATGAAGAGCTCACCACTGAGGAGCTGCAAGAGCTTCAGCAGGAAGAGCAACACATCGCAGCTCAGAATCTTGCTGCAGAGGAGGAAGAGAGATGGAAGAAGGTGCTTTCTTCAGAAATTAAAGAGATTTTTACTATGTGGGGTAAGATGGAAAGCTTTATGGAGAAACATCACCCTAACAAGGTTGTTGCAAGCCAGGTTGGCAACATGTACAGTGACAAAGTCTTGGGCCATTTTAGGGAAGTGTTAAAGAGACGCCAGAAACAGAGCTCTCTCCACAGTTATTTTGTGAGACAGGACTCCAGTGACTCAAGGTGGTCCTAGTGGCATTAAGAAACAGAGAAGAGAAGCAACCCCAGAAAAGCAAATGGTACCTAGGTGTTGATGGAAGGGGATTCCCCTTCCAAACTATAAACAATCCACTCTCTCTCCTCCTCCAGTCTCCCATACACTAAGAAGAATCTCCAATAAAGGCAAGTGTTATGCTGTTAATGTTTCATTCATCATTTCCCATTGTATTGTTTATGTACTACATGTATATTTCATGTTAAAATTTTTTTTGTTTTAATACTTCTGGGTGTCAGGAACGGATTAATTGTATTTACATTATTTCTTATGGGGAAAATTGATTCGTAAATCGTAAATTTCGTTTATAGTAACAGCTCCAGGAACGGATTAATTACGAAAAACGAGGGACCACTGTATATGCTTCTAAGCTGTTGTATTCTGAGCACCTCTGCAAAAACAGTGATTATGTGTGAGTGAGGTGAAAGTATTGAATGATGATGAAAGTATTTTCTTTTTGAGGATTTTTTTTGGGTCACCCTGCCTCGGTGGGAGACGGCCGACTTGTTAAAAAAAAAAAAATTAAGTGTGAATAATAGCAAGTGTTTCTTTTTCAGTGGGAGACGGCCAGCAAGTTAAAGAAAAAAAAATTAACAAATAGCAAATTTTCTTACATTGCACCACATCTGAAGAGTTGATGGATCAATCTTATACAACTGGTTGAAGTTGCAGTAGATAACAGCATCTTCTGGTAAGCCATACTGTTTGCGTGTTGTAATCAGAATATTTTTGGGAGGTTCTTCTCCAGTAGCAGCCTTTGTGTTCATTTGTGTAGTGGCCAGGCCATTCTGTACAACCAGCCCATTTACAGTAGCTTGAGCCAAACCAGTCTGAATCATTGACTGGAAGTATGAGTAAAAATTAGAATGTATATAAAAAATTTGCAAAAAGCTTTATAATATTCCTTCCATGATTATAAACTTTATTACAATATTATATAGTGAATAAATCCCTTTTCAAGGTTAAGTATCAAACACATGTGAAACTCACAAACCAACAAAGCCAATGCAATAATATCAACTTATTAACATGTGACCAACATCATGACTCTTAACTTAAATACAAATACTGTAATGTATTTACTTCAATAGGTGCTGTTGTAGGAAGCTGAGCAACTGTTACTGCTACTTCAACTGATTCCTTTGTAGTAGCAGGCTTCACCACTTCTTTAACAGTTAACACCTCGGCATTTTCAATTACAGGGTTGAGGTCCGTAGTGTTCATTAATGCCACAGTATCCTTGATGGAATCTCTATTTAATAATTTAGGGTTGTCCTGCAAAAAGTAATACAATATTTTAGACAGTCATAAAAGTGAAAAAGCATCTTAATTTTTTTTTTTTTTACATTTTGAACACAATGTTGGAGGATACGAATGGTACGCTTTGGCCTATCAATAACTCACTGCAGTGTTCTTTCTTTGTTGGATTACTAAAACTTCACCTCAGCACTACTGTTATGACCAAGGTCATAATGAAATTAATTTATATGTATTATCCACTTAATATTATACTCGGGGTTTCTTTAATATTAGCTAAATTAAAGATTCCACTAGTTTATAATATTATCTGATTTAGGAATATACCCAGGTATGATTAAATAAATAAATAAATAAATAAATAAATAAATAAATAAATAAATAAAGGTTAAGAGAGTGGTGAAGCAATGTAAAAAGAGAGCAAATGAGAGACTGGGTGAGATGTTATCAACAAATTTTGTTGAAAATAAGAAAAAGTTTTGGAGTGAGATTAACAAGTTAAGAAAACCTAGAGAACAAATGGATTTGTCAGTTAAAAATAGGAGAGGAGAGTTATTAACCCTTTGAGGGTTTTCGTCGTACTAGTACGTCTTACGCGTAGGGGTTTTTGACGTACTAGTACTCATAAATTCTAGCGACCTCAAATCTAGTGGGAGGGAAAGCTGGTAGGCCTTCATATGAAAGAATGGGTCTATGTGGTCAGTGTGCACAGTCTAAAAAAAATCCTGCAGCACACGGTGCATAATGAGAAAAAAAAAAAACTTTTTCCATTTTTTTTTAATAAATCAGCGACTTTGCAGTGTATTTTTCGTATAGTATTTATTGTTGTATTCTAGTTTTCTTGGTCTCATTTTATAGAATGGAAGACATATTACTGAAATTGAGATGATTTTGACTGGTTTTACAATGAAAGGTGCCTTGAAATTGAGCTCAAAGTAGCAGAAATGTTCGATTTTTACCAAACTTCAAAAGTAAACAAATCGTTGCCAAGCGTGCAATACACGTCAAACTGGTGAGTCTATATTCTTTCAAAGTGCACCAATAATTTTTATACCATTTTTTACACTAATGCAGTATCTGCATAACAGTAAATCTTATATTTTTTGTGAGAATAAAAATTCAAGTGGAAAGCAAAAGAATATAAGAGGGGCCTTGAGACTGACTAATGACTAGAGGAAATGTCATTTTAGTGCAGGAATGTCTTTCTTGTTTATTTTGGACCTATTCCGAAATTGGCATCTTTTGAAATTTGTGTGAAATTGGCAAAATTGCTAAATTCTGACCACTGTACTGGATAGTTGAATTTATAAAGGGGTGGTTTCTTGCACCCATTCGATAGAAAAAATGGAGTTCTAGCGAAATATTAAAGTTTTTTTCGACTAGTACAGTGAAATTGGCCAAAATGGGGCTCAAATTTGGGCAAAATCGCCGATCCTTAAACATCGCCGACCGCTAACTTTGCGAGAGCATAATTCCGTAAGTTTTCTATCAAATTTCAAACTTTGGCTTTTATGACGGAAAAGATTCTTTTCATTAAAGAGAAAATAAATTTTTTTTTTTTTAAAAATTTTGGCGACCCTGAGTACAAGTTATAAAAGGGGGCCTGTCGATTCCATTCAAAAGGGGTTAAAATGGAGAGTTAGAGGTATTGGGAAGATGGAGGGAATATTTTGAGGAATTGTTAAATGTTGATGAAGATAGGGAAGCTGTGATTTCGTGTATAGGGCAAGGAGGAATAACATCTTGTAGGAGTGAGGAAGAGCCAGTTGTGAGTGTGGGGAAGTTCGTGAGGCAGTAGGTAAAATGAAAGGGGGGTAAGGCAGCCGGGATTGATGGGATAAAGATAGAAATGTTAAAAGCAGTGGGGGATATAGTTTTGGAGTGGTTGGTGCAATTATTTTAATAAATGTATGGAAGAGGGTAAGGTACCTAGGGATTGGCAGAGAGCATGCATAGTTCCTTTGTATAAAGGCAAAGGGGATAAAAGAGTGCAAAAATTATAGGGGGATAAGTCTGCTGAGTATACCTGGTAAAGTGTTTTGGTAGAGTTATTATTGAAAGAATTAAGAGTAAGACGGAGAATAGGATAGCAGATGAACAAGGAGGCTTTAGGAAAGGTAGGGGGTGTGTGGACCAGGTGTTTACAGTGAAACATATAAGTGAACAGTATTTAGATAAGGCTAAAGAGGTCTTTGTGGCATTTATGGATTTGGAAAAGGCGTATGACAGGGTGGATAGGGGGGCAATGTGGCAGATGTTGCAAGTGTATGGTGTAGGAGGGAGGTTACTGAAAGCAGTGAAGAGTTTTTACGAGGATAGTGAGGCTCAAGTTAGAGTATGTAGGAAAGAGGGAAATTATTTCCCAGTAAAAGTAGGCCTTAGACAAGGATGTGTGATGTCACCGTGGTTGTTTAATATACTTATAGATGGGGTTGTAAGAGAAGTAAATGCGAGGGTCTTGACAAGAGGCGTGGAGTTAAAAGATAAAGAATCACACACAAAGTGGGAGTTGTCACAGCTGCTCTTTGCTGATGACACTGTGCTCTTGGGAGATTCTGAAGAGAAGTTGCAGAGATTGGTGGATGAATTTGGTAGGGTTGTGCAAAAGAAGAAAATTAAAGGTGAATACAGGAAAGAGTAAGGTTATGAGGATAACAAAAAGATTAGGTGATGAAAGATTGAATATCAGATTGGAGGGAGAGAGTATGGAGGAGGTGAATGTATTCAGATATTTGGGAGTGACGTTGTCAGCAGATGGGTCTACGAAAGATGAGGTGAATCATAGAATTGATGAGGGAAAAAGAGTGAGTGGTGCACTTAGGAGTCTGTGGAGACAAAGAACTTTGTCCTTGGAGGCAAAGAGGGGAATGTATGAGAGTATAGTTTTACCAACGCTCTTATATGGGTGTGAAGCATGGGTGATGAATGTTGCGCAGGAGGGAAAAGGCTGGAGGCAGTGGAGATGTCATGTCTGAGGGCAATGTGTGGTGTGAATATAATGCAGAGAATTCGTAGTTTGGAAGTTAGGAGGAGGTGCGGGATTACCAAAACTGTTGTCCAGAGGGCTGAGGAAGGGTTGTTGAGGTGGTTCGGACATGTAGAGAGAATGGAGCGAAACAGAATGACTTCAAGAGTGTATCAGTCTGTAGTGGAAGGAAGGCGGGGTAGGGGTCGGCCTAGGAAAGGTTGGAGAGAGGGGGTAAAGGAGGTTTTGTGTGCGAGGGGCTTGGACTTCCAGCAGGTATGCACGAGCGTGCTTGATAGGAGTGAATGGAGACAAATGGTTTTTAATACTTGACGTGCTGTTGGAGTGTGAGCAAAGTAACATTTATGAAGGGATTCAGGGAAACCGGCAGGCCAGACTTGAGTCCTGGAGATGGGAAGTACAGTGCCTGCACTCTGAAGGAGGGGTGTAAATGTTGCAGTTTAAAAACTGTAGTGTAAAGCACCCTTCTGGCAAGACAGTGATGGAGTGAATGATGGTTAAAGTTTTTCTTTTTTCGGGCCACCCTGCCTTGGTGGGAATCGGTCAGTGTGTAATAAAAAAAAAAAAAAAAAAAATTGAAAAGCAAACATTTTCAGGAACCCATTAAGACTGCATGTTGGGGACCTACTGGAGAAAATAGTATCAAAACTTGGCAGCTGTACAAAACGAACAAGGAACTTACTATAGATTCCAGAAGAACCCTTTCCTGAAGATGAGGGAACATGTTCCTATGATCCCCAACAAAGAAGGTATCAGGCATATAAGCAAGCTTCTCACTGTATTGTGATGCCACTCTTAAAGGTGATGTAACACGATCAGTGATGAGGTAGTCCATAAAAGGAGCTCCACTAGTGCCTGGATATCCCAACCACATAACCTGTAAAATAATTTTTTTGGTAATACTGTACTTTTGTATGGGTGTGAATCATAGCTCGTAAAACTGCAGTGAAGAGGAGGTTAGAGGGAGTTAAAATGTTTAAGATAGATATGTGAAACTAATATTATCCAGAGAATAATGAGCAAAGTAGCTGGGCTAGTGGTGTGACAGATATAATTCAGAGCAGGAAAAGGGGGTTAATTAAGTGTGTATACCTACCTGGATGGGTGCTGGACGAAGGGCAAATATTTCATTGCGAGCTCCTTTTGTGTAACCATTCATGTTCACAAGAATATGAATGCCATCTTGATTTATGCGATCAGCAGCTTTGCCATTGCAGGGAATTTGTGACAGATCAATAAAATGTTCAGCTTCTCTGCTAATTTTACTCCTTGAAGAAAAAATATTTTTATTAATAATAAAAACAAATTGGGATTTGAGATTTTTAAATATTTCTCCTCTCAGTAAATACATAAGCCCTCGCACACAAAGGTATAAATGCACCAACAACGATAAAGAAATACTAAAGTGTATATGCATCATTGATAGGACGATAATCTGGCAAGAAGCAGGTAGAGGGACAAGGCCAGGAGCCGAGATTCGACCCCTGAAACCACATACATGTATATACAAAACAGGCAAATTATGGAATAGCTTTGTTACCTAAATGCAGTACTATCATCAGGACTCAGAGCATAGCAGTATATCTCCACCCTAGACCTATCATGCAGGCCAGGTATACTCTGCATTAGGTGTGATGTTGGATGGTTGCCAAAGTCAGAAGATACATATCCCACGCGCACACGCCCATCAGGTGTCAATTCCGAAGGATATTTATATGGCTGTTTGTGTAGCACATTAATCTGCAGAAAGAATTTGGTAATCAGAATAAAGTTCAGATTTACTAAAGGCAACATAAGATGTGTTTTTCTGTATAATAAAATGAGTTATTTTCTCATTCCCCTCATAATTTCTGCATGTAGTGCAAGTGCAAGATAGTATGTCAAGATAAACATGATCAAATTGATTGGAGTTAGCCTTAATCTACAAAAGATCTTGTCAATGCTGACAAGTGGTTTTAAGGGTCTGCTGCACTGTTGCAAGGAGAGTAAGGTAAAAATGACAAAGGGAATCAGGAAAATGAGTTAAGCAGACTTCCGAGTCCTGAAGGTGGAGCCTACAGTGCCTGCATTTTGGAGGAGGAGAGAGGATGTTGCAATTTGAAGAATAATTTGAATTGTGGTGCCCGTGCACTTCTTGCAAGTCAGCTATTTCATGAATGATGGTGAATGTAAAGGCATGACTCGATAGTACAGCGTTTCACTTTAGAGTGCCTCACTAATACGGCACTCTTAATTTTTTTTTTTTCAACAGATCAGCTGTCTTCCACCGAGGCAGGGTGACCCAAAAAGAAAAACTCCCCAAAAAGAAAATATTTTCATCATCATTCAACACTTTCACCTCACTTATACATACCTTTGATATACCTCTGAAGAGTTTCAAGAGTTTATCTACTCTCTGAGCCCAGCCATGGGTCAGACTCGCCTGCTTCCCTGGTCAACCAGGCTGTTGCTGCTGGAGGCCAGCTGCCCCACATATCCACAGCCTGGTTGATCTGGCACCTGGTGAAGATACTTGTCCAGTTTCCTCTTGAAGGCTTCTACACTTGTTCCAGCAGTGTTTCTGATATCTTCTGGTAAGATGTTGAAAAGTCTGGGACCCTGGATGTTGATACAGTGTTCCCTTATTGTCCCCACCGCAGAGGCACCCAGATACAACAGTATAGAAGCACATACAGGTCTCCCTCAACATTCGCGAAGGTTAGGGGATAAAGAGCCTTGCGAATGTTGAAATATTGCGAATGTTTGGTGCCCTTATATATTGTAGGGAAATATAATACAATACTGTTTCCTTAACTTGTTGAACCATGAACAATCATAAAATACATGAAAACATAGTAAAATATTGTACTATATACATACATGTTATGGTTTAATAACATGTTATTATTTTTCTTTACCAAATGGTTGGCACTAGTAAGTTTCTTTGGGCCCATGGTTAATTATGTAGCAGTCGCACTCAATCTACAAGCACCAAAGACAATGAATTATTGTGAAATGTTTGGAAGAGCGAGGAGGCTAATGCTCACTTCAGCATAAACAAAGCCAAACTGACTCACGATGCCTCCCACCACTGCTTCAATCCTAGTATTTTTGTACAATTTCCTTCTTCAATGCTATCATATTATTATTATTAACAACATATATTATTATTATTAACAACATGCATTATTATTATTAATATGTATGTTATTAAATACCACTGACTCAACCGCTGCCTTGACCACTGTCTCTACCAGTGCCTCCACTACTGCAGTCGCACTCAATCTACAAGCACCAAACACAATGAATTATTGTGAAATGTTTGGAAGAGCGCAGAGGCTAATGCTCACTCCAGCATAAACAGAGCCAAACTGACTCACGATGCCTCCACTACTGCTTCAACCCTCATATTTTTGTACAATTTCCTTCAATTCTATTGTATTATTATTTATTACTGTTATTATTATTAGCAGTAGTAGAAATGTTCGATTCTTTGCCGTGTTCAGGAGTAAACAAATGATGTCACTGTCCAATACCTGTCCGAATGGCCATTCTAATATGCAGTCATGAACGGGCTGACATTATTTATACTGTAGTTTAATAGCAAATAATGAACAAACAAAACACTCACCACACTGAGTGGCAGGCGGGATGACTGCCAGTTGCTGGGGTCAGAGGGAGGGTAGTAGGGATACATGGGTGGCAGGTAACTTAAATATCATTTGGCGGCTGGGAATTCGCAAATTTGTGAATCCCATGAAAGTTGAAAACACGAATGTTGAGGGAGACCTGTATAAAGATATACAGTAGGGCCCCACTTAATTGGCAGGTTAGGTTCCAGGCTACTGCCGGAAAGCTGACCTCCATTTTTTTCCTTTTATAAATGCATATAAATGCCAGATAAAAGTTTACACTAACATATATTAAGTTAGCAACAGAACCAGGCATTAAAAAGTAAAATGCACACACAGTACACTCATTATTTACCTCAAAATATTTGTAGTCTTAATGTAGGGCAAAAGGTGAGTAGTATTTACTTTAAGAAGTCAGGTGTGGTAGCCCTCCTGTCAACCCCACCCACACATACTATACTACGATGCTGAAAGCTCCCTAGAGCGATAAAATGCATATACAATACAGGCATTACTTACCTTAAAATATTTGTAGTCTTAATGTAGGGCGAGAAGTGAAAAGCATTTATGTGCAAGTAAGGTATAAAATACCGGCAATATGAAAGTTACCTGGAGTTTACCTGGAGTTTACCTGGAGAGAGTTCCGGGGGTCAACGCCCCCGCGGCCCGGTCTGAGACCACCTCCTGGTGGGCAGGCCTGAAACAACCAGGCTGTTGCTGCTGGCCTGGACGAAACCAACATTCGAGCACAGCCCGGTGATCCGGAACTGACTTTAGGTGCTTGTCCAGTGCCAGCTTGAAGACTGCCAGGGGTCTGTTGGTAATTCCCCTTATGTGGGGCTGGGAGGCATTTAAACAGTCTCGGGCCCTGACACTTTATTTATGGCTCTTAAAAAGTGCTAGTGAAAACCCCTGCTTTTCCCTTGGGGGATGGTGCATCGTCTGCCAAGTCTTTTGCTTTCGTTTGTGGGTGATTTTCGTGGCAAGTTCGTACTAGTCCTCTTAAGACACATTTGCAACATCTGGAAAATTTTTTAATGTAAACGTTTCACCATCCAGTGGCTTATCAATACAGATTCTAGGACATAATTGGAAGACAGTTAACTATATACAAAGATGAGGTAATCAGTCCCTAGCCTTGGAGTTAGTTTCACACATGGTGGTGGAGGAAAACTGGAGCAAAAGGGAAGAAGACTGGCGGTTATATAGAAGTCATGGATAAGGAATTGCGCAGACGAGGGGATTGTCACTGTAGGCGGATTCCCCAGTGAAGTAGTCCTTCCCAAAAGATGGTTTAGTTGTAGCAGCCGTGAAGAAGGTCTTGTAGATGTCCTCTGAACCAAGATTCCATGATGTGCAGTGTCTGACAAGTTTTTGGGGAAAAAAAGGTATAAAATACCGACAAATGAAAGTTAAGACACATTTGCAACATTGGATTCTTTTTTTTGTAGACGTTTTGCCATCAGTGGCTTTATCAATACAGATTCTAGGGCATATTGGGAAAACAGTAGACTATTACAGAGGCACTACAAACCTTCTTCACCTGCTTACAACTAACCATCTCTTTTTGGGAAAAAGGGCCTCTTCCACTGGGGGAATCCCGCCTACCAGTGACTATGCCTCGTCTGTGCACGTCCTTTTCCACTGACGCCTATATAACGCCAGTCTTCTTGCCTTTGCTCCCGATTCTCCTCCACCCACCATGCTGTGAACACTAACTCCAAGGCTGAGGACTGATTACCTCATCTTTTTGTTATAGTTCATTGTCTTCCAATTATGTCCCTAGAATCGTACGATAAAGCCCCTGGATGCAAAACGTTTCAAAAGAAAGATACGTATTCAGATGTTTGCAAATGTGTCAACTTTCGAAAAGCATTTATTTGTAGAAAGTCGTGTGGGAGGTATTCATCCTGCCTGGCCACTTATACCTACTTTCGACATTAAGCTCCCAGAGCGATAAAATCATATAACCTACCAATCCGACTTTCGACCTGCTCAAATTACGCCACTCGACTTACTACCATGTTTTTTTATTTTTGCCAAATTTCCTGGGAAAAAAACAACTATTGTGTTGTACACGTGTTTATCCTAAACCTTTCAGTAAAAATACAGTACTAACAGCATAAAAAATAAAGTAAAACATTTTTTTTTTTCAACATCGGCCGTCTCCCCCCGAGGCAGGTGAATGAAATACCTAAATAAACATAATAAAGTCATTACAAAAATGTGTGTGAATTCATAGTAAGTTCGACTTGCGTCATTTCGACTTACGACCGTTTTCTCGGACTGAACTCGGTCGTAAGTCGGAAAGGGAGTAGTAACTCATTATTACCTTAAAATATATGAGTCCCTTATATTGGGGAGGTGAGTTTTTGTATAAGTCAGTTGGAAGTAAAGGTACCAGAAAGGGCCCGGCCCTCCCCACCCCACCCCCATATATAAACAAACAAAAAAACGAGCTTGGGTTTCGTCACAAGTCCTACAAGTTGCCCGGTTATTTCCCAAACCCACAAGTTACCGGCTCCACAAGTCCACAAGTACCTGGCTCCACAAATCCTACAAGTTACCTGCTACCACAAATCCTACAATTTTCCTGGCTACCACAAGTCCTCAATTGCCTGGCTACCACAAATCCTACAGTTACTGGCTACCACAGTCCACAATTACCTGGGTCACAATCCTACAAGTTACCTGGCTACCACAAATCCCACAATTTACCTGGCTACACAATCCTTCAAGTTGCCTGGTTACCACAAATCCTTCAAGTCACCTGGCTACACTCCATATTTATGTTAATTTATTCTACTGTAGGGTGTGTTTAGATGGATTAAGCAAAATGTCTATATTAACATTTTATATGATATTTAATGCTCCTTAGTGATTATTATTATTACACACCCTCCCAAACTCGTCCACTAACCTTAGCAACTTTTCTTTAGAATCTCCCATAAGCATAGTATCATCAGCAAAAAGCAACTGTGTAAACTCCCATTTTGTATTTGATTCCCCATAATTTAATCCAACCCCTCTCCCCAACACACTAGCATTTACTTCTTTTACAACCCCATCTATAAATATATTAAACAACCATGGTGATATTACACATCCCTGTCTAAGACCTACTTTTAC